ATTCCCCACCACCCAGTCAGAGCTGAAGAAGCTTTTTGGATGAGAAGTGAAACATCTTCGAAGAAAAACCAGAAAGTCCAGTTGCCTCTTGAAAAATCACTTTTGGGATAGCCTCTTTCAATACATTGCATCCTTCCACCAGTCATTGCCCATCACCTAAACACTTGTCAGAAGCATAAGTTAAGGTCCAAAGGCTTCGTGTTTTTTTTCCTTGCTTCTGATGTTATATAGAATTGGACTTCTTCTTTTTTTTTACTTTTCTGGCATTGCAGGAGTTCCCAGGGCTGATGTGGAAAACAACTGCCAGAAAAATGTTGCAGCTTCCCTTGTACCTTTGGACAGCCTTGTTGTTCTGCTTAATAGCTTATTTACTTCTCAGCGTGTTGCCTGAGTAAATGGAGAAAGGAAATGGGGAAAAAAAGGAAAAGAGACTGGAGTTGCTGCCTCCAAAATGCAACAAGAAATCACAGATGTTCTTTTTCACTTTGTTAACACTTTCACAGTCTGGGGGATTAAAAAAAAAAAAACAAGCCAACATCCTTTTCAATTTGATCAAACGGGAGGGTAGCCTTTTTTTTCCAGTTAGATTTTTTTTTCAGAGGGTTTGGTTTGTCGTTTTTTAAAATGGATTTGGCTTACAAAAAGATGGCTTGGGGTGCATTTTGCTTAGAAGCAGGGTTGGGATGCTACCGGTTCTACCCGGTTCTAAAGGACCGGTGGCTCTGAAGAGCAGCAGACACAGAACCGGTTCTGTGTTTGCTGCTGTTTGGCCCACTCACCCGCCCGGGCTCTTACCTGTCCTTTATTTCCTGCTTTTTCAACCTCAGCTGCTTTGCGCGGCACAGCTGAGGTTGAGAAAGCAGGAAAAAAGAGGCTTTTCCTACGGCACTTTTCAGCTGTCCAGGAGGCACAGCCTAAAGTTATTTTACACGCGCGCAAAACATAATCACCGAACCAGTAATAACGCCGGTTGAATCCCACCCCTGCTTAGAAGTCATTTGAACTATTTTGGTTCTTATATCGCCACAATGTAAAAAAGATGTTGAGACTACAAAGAGTGCAGAGAAGAGCAACCAAGATGATTAGGGGACTGGAGGCTAAAACATATAAAGAACGGTTGCTGGAATTGGGTAGGTCTAGTTTAATGAAAAGAAGGGATAGGAGTGACATGATAGCAGTGTTCCCATATCTCAGGGGCTGCCACAAAGAAGAGGGAGTCAAGCTATTCTCCAAAGCACCATTAGGCAAGACAAGAAGCAATGGGTGGAAACTGAACAAGGAGAGAAGCAACCTAGAACTAAGGAGAAATTTTCTGACAGTTAGAATAATTAACTAATGGAACAACTTGCCTCCAGAAGTTGTGAATGCTCCCACACTGGAAGTTTTTAAGAAGAGATTGGAGAACCATTTGTCTGAAATGGTTACCTGCCTAAGCAGGGGGTTGGACTAGAAGACCTCCCAGGTCCCTTCCAACTCTGTTATTCTATTATTCTTATTTTGGCTCAAGAATGCTACAGGTTGGCCATATTGCTATCAAATTCCGGGCAAGGGATGGGAAAGGACTCTGGGAGTGACAGAAATGGAGATAGATAAAGAGTCCATGTGGAAACCCCTGGGAACTGTGGGTTACTCACTAATTAATTAAGAGAATAGAATAGAATTATTTATTGGCCACATGTGATTGGACACACAAGGAATTTGTCTTGGTGCAAATGCTCTCAGTGTCCATAAAAGAAAAGATACATTCGTCAAGAGTCAAGAATCATCAGGTACAACACTTAATGATAGTCATAGGGTACAATCAGCGATCAAAGCATACTGGGAAACAGTCAATAAAAATCGTTAGGATGCAAGCAAGAAGTAAGCAAAGGGAACGATGCCCTTGAATTGTGGTATTGTGAAAAACTATTGGACTGAAAGGAGATCGAATCAGTCAATCCTAAAGGAAATCAACCCTGGATATTCTTTGGAAGGACAGATCCTAAAGCTGAAGTTCAAATACTTTGGCCACCTAATGAGAAGAGAGGACTTGTTGGGAAAGACCTTGATGCTGTGATCCATGCATCCATGAAAAGTCGGACACAACTTAGTACCTGAACAGCAACAAAAACAGCAGATGCTGCAACCCTTTACCCCAAGTACATGAAAAAAAAACAGAATATAATTTGTTAATATTTACTGAGTTAGGATTTTCATTCCTCCCTTTTCCCCAGCCATTGTTAGTGAGAGCCGGTCTCAGAAGGGTGGGAAACAGCACGACCTGAAGACAAGCAAAAATGGTTTGGGCTGCATGCAGTTTGGGCTACATGCCAGTTACTGGTGTGCAGAATATGGAAAGAAATTTGTATGATGGTATCAGATGGGTGCGGTGTCCTAGTGGTTAAGATGCTGAGCTTTTTGTGGGGAAGGTCAGCAGTTCGAGAGCGTCATCATCGTTCTGAGTAATGAACTCAAGGAAGTCAGGGCTCTGACACTTTGTTCAGGTTCAGGAATCCCTTTATTGAGTACTTAGAAAGGTGAAGCTAGCTCTAAATAGTTCCCATGCTTAGGGATAGTGAAAGGAACAGGATTTTCCCACCCACTCCCTGTGTCTTTTAGATCACATGGGCCAATCAAGTCAGCCACAAGTTCCTGCTCAGCTTTGACAGGTGTCCACTGGCGTGGCCTTGGTTCACATGCCGGCTGGTAGATGTTTTGACTAGCACCTGAGGCACCACATTTCTAAGCTCCCCATCCCTCCCCACCATGAATAGTAAGAAGATTTAATCCAAAGTTCAGAATTATCTCAAGGCATCATGAGGCAGTCATCTTACTGCCTTATGTTTGACGATATTAGAGCGTTCTTAGAACGAAATGTTTGTAGAGATTCCAAACAGACTTCTAAAACTTTTACATTAAAGCCACGTCCCAGCTTCTTTATTTATGCCGAAGACTAATCCATCATGAATTTGCAGGATCTAGGAAGGGAAGTATTGTTTTTCTGTATCCCAGTTTATTTTGAGAATAGCTCTGTGTATGTGTTGGTGTGGTGGCATCTGTGGTGATTTATGAGATATTCTCTTGTATTTGTCATTTGTGGGAGGAAATGGGATCATTTCTTACCTTGATAACCCCAATGAGGCAAGACAATGCGAGAGACTATGTGGCTGTCTCAATATATTTATTGTGACTAAAAAAAGGCACAAAGCCAGTTGAGACTCGCAGGATTCCTTCTCCTGAAAAGGCAGAGTTTCAACACAAACCACAGAGCAAAAGAACGGTACCTTTGCAGTGTTATATTTCATAAAGCAACAACCCACACCAGCCAGCACTCTTTAAGATGAGTGCTCACCAAGACAGCAGGGCTGTGTTCATCCTGGAAGGAAAAAAAAAAAATAACTTGAAAGTGAGTAATGTTTATGCCTCTACTGATGGAGCCACCACAGTGAAGTCTCTGCCTCTTCCGTTCACTGAAATTACTTTACGGACTTCAAAATACGTTAAGCTTGTTGTATTTCATGGGCTACCCATGGGTCTCTCTGCTCAGTCTATTCAATGGGAACCTTGATATCTCTGGTGAAGGTGGCAGATGGAAGCTCCATGAAAAGTGGAGCCAATATTTGCAGCTACAAACAGGAAGTCGATGAGCAGATCAGCTCCTTCAACTCTCTGTGGACAAAGAGAGAATGTGAGATCAACCAAGCTGATCTCTTCAGTTGCTTCACGTAAGAAGATTCCAGAGGGAGAGAGAATTGGAAGATGAGGGAATTCACCATAATCCCTCCAACCACAAACAGAGCCTTTTTAAAGGATACTAACTTTGCCTATCTCTTTCATAAATTTGCCTATGAACTCTTTCAAAGAAGTTAGACACCTACAAAGTGACAAGACTGCAAACATTAGATGAGTGCCTACAATCCTTAATATAAGAAAATGATGTACCTTTTATAATTTTTTAATAATTACAGCAAAACGCAAGACAAGGTTTTGGCTACGCAAAGTTTTAAACGGCTTAGGGGTTTAAAAATGTCAGAATATTGGATTTTGAATATTAAGACTTTGAAATTCTTAAAAAACAAATTCATAGTTCCATGAAAGAAAAACTGTGTCTTATATTAGAGACATAACAAGACAAGTAACTTATTATGGCTTTCAAAGATATACTTTGATGAACTGCTTTGGGAATTGTGCCAGGACTTTGAACCAATTATATCAATCTTGTTGCATCTTCTTGGAAACAGTCTGCTC